ACCTGGGTTTCCAGGAATTCCAATCCACAGAGCCAGAGGCCAACCCAGTCTTGGATGCCCTGGCCTCAGAGAGCCCCACTTCCATCACCATCATATTCCTACTGACCCCGTTGCATACAGTGTACAGCGCAACAGTCCTGGAATTCCTGCCACTATGCTAGCTAGCTCCCAAAAAACTGAGTCCATTTACTGGGTGGCAGAGAAGTTGGTACACTTCCTCCACCAGCACCCTAGGCCTATCTCTGTTACAGTAGAGCCAATGCAGGGGGCCTCCCAGCAGGACCAGTAGAGCAGGGATAACACCTTGATGACTTTGCTAGAAAGGGCTGTGTGGTGGACTCACTGGTGCTCCAGCTGTCCAAATATGAGGGTACCATGCCCAGATACCAGCTCTTCCTTTGGGAAAGATGGGGGTCTCTGGCCAAACACCTGCTGGATGACTTCCCCAGTGCCACCAACCTTGTCCATGCAGAGGTGAAGAAGCTGTCCAGGCACCAGATCGAAGCAGCGAGACACCACATCAACTGCAACGGGAAGGTGATGATGGGAGCAGTAGCAATCCACTGATGTGCCTGGCTGCACTCTGTGGACCTCACCCAGAAGACACAAGCCTGCATAGAGGACATGTCCTTTGATGGAGAGAGACTCTTCAATTTTCATATAAATGAGACTATGGACTTTCTGCACGAAGCCTGGGCTACCACCAGATGCATGGGGTTTGCTCACCAACTGCAGCAGCATTAGTGGCAACAGACTATCTTTTCAGGTCACAGACAGTGTCTCTCCCCAAGAGGCACAACACCCAACCCTGCCAGAGGCTCCTGCCTAAACACCAAAATACCAGGCACAGGTGCTGAGAATCAGATCCAGGCAGCCCTCCCCACCCTCCCCAATGGCCCTGTCACCTTCTACTAACTTCACCGAGCAATTAGCACAATTCTTCCCAACATGGAGACAATAACAGCTGACTCCTGGGTCCTGTCTATAGTGGAACAAGAATACAGGATCGAGTTTGACACCCTCCCACCCCTAAGCTGTATCAAAGCCACACCACCTTCACCAGCACTGATGGCGGAGATGGAAGCCAAGGGCATAATAGAAAAAGTCTCCATGGACCTGCACAGGAGTTTCTCCTCCCAGTATTTATCATACCTAAGCAAGATGGAAGCCTCAGGCCAATCCTCAACCTCAGAGGCGCCAATAAGTTCATTACTTCTAAGAGGTTAAGGATGACCACCTTACAGGGCATTCTTCCTCTCCTATGGCAGGGGAATGGTTTGCTTCCCTCAACCTCAAGGACACCTATTCCATAAAGCCTATAGACACTTCCTATGCTTCCAGATCAGGCAGGAGACCTTCCAGTTCTCCATTCTCCCCTTTGGCCTTGCCAAGTCTTTACAAAATGCATGGTGGTAGTCTGTGCAGACCTTAGGCTCCAGGGTATCCAGGTCTTCCTGTCCCTCAATGACTGGCTCCTGGCAACCTCCCTGAGAACTGACCTGCAAGCAGTTCACACCACATGCACCCTCCTGAAGGATCTGGTATTCCTCATTAATCATGATAAGTGTATACTTTCCCTTACCTAGTTCATCCTCTTCATAAGGGCTCGCCTGGACTCAATAGCCACCAAGGCATTCCTCCCACAACCAAGAGCTGAAACCTTGTTGGCCATGTCCATCAGGACCACAGCCTGCTCTGTAGCACACACCATCCAGATACTTCTCAGCCTCTTGGGCGCCACATGGTGTGCCTCACCCACCTCCAAATGAGACCCCTCCAGCGCTGGTTCACCATGGATAAAGACCACAACTCCACCCATCCCAATAGCAGTCAGACACTCACTTTCATAGTGGTGTGCCAGGGACAGCCTCACCACCTGGGTCCCCTTCTCCTCCTCAGAACCCATGGTAACAGCAGAACAGATGCCTCAAACGTGGGCCAGGGCGCACACAGCAGTGGCATACGCGCGCAGGGCCTTTGAGACCATAATGAGTCCCAGCTGCCCATCGGCCTCCTAGAGTGATATACAAGGTCCTGGCTTCCTTTCAGGACTCCCTGAGGAGCTGCCCCATCCAAATAGCAACAGACAGTACTACCTCCACGTATTACCTGAACAGGGAAGGTGGGACCCAATCCTCAAAAAGCCCTCCAAACTCTCTCACCTTTTACAAGGCGTGCCCAGAGCAGCTCCAACGTGCGAACTGCCTTTTTATCTGCTGGAAATCCTCTCAGCAATCCATGATGAGTAAACTTGCTAGTTGTGATGCACAGAGAACACAATGAAGAAAGGCAAGACTTAAAGATATTTTGGTTCTTGTTTTGAAACCACTCCAGTGTTGCAAGTTCCAAAACTTTGGCTGTTTGTTAAGGGTCACTTTTGTGCTGGACTAGTCCCAGATCCCTTGCAAACTGAAACAGGTTTTCTTTCAGAATCACCCAGTGATTGGTTTCATATGTCTTGCTCTCAGTCCTGACCAGTCTCCCAGCCCCCTCCTTCTTCCCTTCTTCCCATTTTCCCTGATACTGACACTCTCTTTGTAGGAGTCCCTCCTGCCACTGCATTACCTCCAATGCCCTGGCCCGGAAAAATCTGATCCTCTCCCTCCGCTTATCCAATCAGGACATTTTGGGGTGGGGGGTGGGCCTGAAACAACCTCTGGCTCAATTTGAAGCCTTCTGGACAAAGCTCACTGGAGCATCTCTGAAGGACCTTCTCTCCTCCTCTGGGTGGCATGCCTCCATGTCTCCCCGACTGTTTCCCCCTTGGCCCCTCCCCCATCCTTCTGCCCAGAAAGGGGCTGCTCCCGGTTGGCCTGGGGAGCTCTCTGAGCCATGCCCAGGAATTGCTCATCCTCCAGCCTCCTCACCTTCTCCAGGAGGGACACCAGCTTGCACCTAGAGCAAATGTATCCCTGCTGTTCCCGACGGAGATGGACAGACATGACACAGGTGTTGCATTCGACAGCAACACCTGTGGCTTCCACCATGGCCGGCATAGGCCACCCCTCGCAGGTCTTACCTTCTTCCCCCACCTTGTCTGCCCTACACTACCCTTACCTGACTTTCCTCAGACAGAATGATATAAGAAAAACAAAACAAACAAACAAAACTACAGCAACAACAACAACGACCTAGGGCAGTGGTGGCGAATCTGTGGTATGCATGCCGCAGCAGGCGCGCAGAGCCCTCTCTGTTGGCACGCGAGTCAGGTTGCCCCACCATCACCCCAGCAGCCGAGCATCGGGTAACAGCGCACACAGGGGCCATGCGCACACTTGGAAAGGAGTAGCGGCGCCAGGCGATGACGTCACACACCGTGACTCATTTGCCATTCCTCGTCTGGGCTTTCGTATGGCCGGTCAGTGCGCTGCCAAGGATATATATATGCTTGCTTGGACTGGCTGTGAGTTGCTTTTTCTAAACTAAAACCTCAGTAGTCAGGTTTTATTGCAGTGTTGGGTTTTGGGTTGCAGTTTGGGCACTCGGCCTCTAACAGGTTCGCCATCACTGACCTAGGGGAAGAGTGTGCCTGGGCAGCTGGGGCCGCAACTAAGGGACGGCGCCCAACAGACGAGGGTGGACTAACAAGCCTGCGAGGCCGCTGGCCCCGCCCCCTCTATCTCCTCCTGGGCCTCTCTGGCCTCTCTAGCCCAACCTCCCTTTGTCTCCACTGCTCCTGCCTGCCCCCCCATTCTCTGCCCAAGCTCCTACCTTGCCTTTGCCAGTTGCCTGGCCACTCTTTCCTCACTCTCCCAGCCTCTGCTGCTCTGGCAAGATCTGCTCTGGGGAATGGTTTGGATTCTTTTTTAAAATAACCCAATCTTAATTGGTGCTTTTGCACAGCTTTATCCAAGAAGGGCCACTAGGATGATGGCTGATTTGCAGAGTAAGCCTTTTGAGTAGCGACTGGGGGAGCTGGATCTTTTCAGCCTTGAGAGCAGAAGAATCAGCGGAGGTGGGTCATGACCTTTTTTCCCTTACAGTGGAGGGCAGGATGTGTTCCAATGGAGCAAAGCTCAGGGAACCAAGATTTAGGGTGGATGCCAAGAAGTATGTCCTGGTCGTTAGGACTCCTAGGGTATGGAATGGGCTTCCACGGAGGTGGTTGAGGCCCCAACAGTGAGGTTGTTTAAGGATAAGCTGGACATGAATATGGTGGGCATGTCGTGAGTGGAGCCAGCTGGAGCCGGGGGTCAGACTAGATGGCCCAGGAGGCCCCTTCTGACTCGCTCTGTTTCTATGTTTCCAAGATTTGCTTGGATAGTTCTTTGGTCTTCATGATGTTGTTTGTGTAGATATGCTCCACAGCAAACTTTGGTATCCTTTAGAAATGGATATTTCATCTGAGAACAGGTGTATTAAATCCTAGAATCATAGAATGGCACAGTTGGAAGGGGCCAGAAGGCCATCACCCACAAGGTCCCCAGGTAGTAGGTTCTATAGTTGTATTGCTCTGACAGAGAGGAAATTCTCCCTGGAGTTTCCTCTCTGTCATTTCCTGCAAGCATTACAGCCTGAGGCATCTGGAGTTTACCAGGTTGGGTCCAGCTGCTGTAGACTGGGCTGAGCTAGATGGCCCTATGGTCTCAATCAGGCTAAGGCAGCTTTCTTTGTTCCCAACAGCCACACTTTCCCCAGATGTCGCAAGACTGATGGTGGCAAAGGTGGTCTTTGTTTTGAGACTGGCACCATTCTTTCACTTTGTATGCCTCGTGTACTCTTGCTAGATGGTCTGAAGTGCCTGGTTTGTCTGGGTTTGCGCAATGAAGGCTTCCCTTCATCAGGCCTTCCTGTACCAGAAACCTTCCTTGCTATGTTCGATTCATTAGATTTTTCTTGAGCTGAGCAAGCTTTCATTTTGGAATTTGAAGGGTAGGCTGTACTTAAGGTTTGATGCTTGTGAAAAAATGGTGATACTTTTTGTGATTTCCATTGCTGTATCCCTTGGTTAGAAGGTGGACAGAATGGCCACAGTGATCTTTGATCTCTTATTCATGCAGAAGAGGAAGAGGAAGAAGAGGAGGAGGAGGAGGAGGAGAGAGGAGGTTGCAGCAAGCTGGACCATCCTCTAGAAGGACTGGCCTTGCAGCAACAAGACTCCCAACTCTGCCAGCAAATGAAGATGGTGACTGCTGCTCCTTCCTCCAGTCTAGCTTGCTGGCAAGTGGAGCTAGAGGCAGTGACAAGCACAAGTACAGGAGACCAAATCTGTGACCAAGGTAAGGAAGCACGTTGGAAATCTTTGCTCCCTTGCCAGTTCTGTGATCATTCAGTTGCTTTTTCCAGACCTCTGCATCACCTCATAGCCCTGCAAAGACTCTGAAGGTGGTTGTTCAGGAAAGCAGTCTAATTGTGCTTTTGAGTGCAAGGAGCATTTTGCAAGTAGAGAGTAAATCCCCCTTGAGCTCTGCAGCCTGACAAATCTGGAGCATCTGGTGGATTTGGGTCATTTTCTTCTTTCTGATGATCTGGTACCTTTGGCTCTAGAAGCTAGGAACACTTTGAACTTAAGGTCTACAGTTGCCTTAAGCAGCAGTCCCCAACCTCTTTGGCACCAGGGACCAGTTTCATGGAAGACAATTTTGGGGGGATGGAGGGGGGGATGGTTTCAGGATGTTTCAAGCATGTTACAGTCAGGCACATACTTTGACTTAATTCTTTCAGGAGGCTGTTTGAACTCTGAATCATTTGAAGTCTGAAGCAACGTTCCCCACTAGAAATCATGGAAAGTGAATTAATCCGTTCCCAGACCCCGAACAATACTAATCTCAATAAACAGTAAATACACATAATTTAAGTTAAAAATAACACAATTAAATGCCGAATTTATTAATTAAAACTTTAAAATAATTAATAAAATATGTAAATATGTACAGTTTTTTATAATAAAATGAAAATTGCATTTACTGTCCAAAAGGGACTGAGAGCGATTGAGGAAGCAGTAAGAAGGATCAGAAAGGCAGGGAGTTAAAAGGCACTCAGAATGACTGAAAAGGGTACTTACCTAAAAGGCACTGAGAACAATCAAAAAGGTTCTCAAAAGGATCAAAAAGGCATGTAATGAAAGGGCACAGACTCAACAAGAGATGAGAGATGGTTTGGGCGCACAACTGATGACATTTATGCAGTGATCGCATTTTTTCACTGTGCCTGCGGTTCAAACTTAGAAGCGTAGTTTGAACTTCAAAGAGATTTTATCTTGATTCAAAGATTAGTTATATTGATATCCTGCCTTTTTTCCTGCAAGGAAACCAAAGCAGTTTCCCATTCTTTCCTCCTTTTCATTGTTTCCTCACAACTACTCTGTGAGGTAAGTTAGGCTGAAAGTCAGGGACTGGTCTTAGAGTCACCCAGTGAGCTTCATGGCCTGGTGGGGACCAGAGCCTAGATTTGCTGAGTTTCACACCAGCAAGCTGGCCATAATGCTACACTGTTTGTTCTTTTGTCTTCCTTTTAGCATCTGGTTCCAAGAAAGAACTCCAGGTTGCTTCACAGTCCTTGGAAAACCAACCAAACAAGGCTGACAACAACCGAGTGAGATCCCGTGCACTGCCCAACATGCCAAAGCTTTTTATCCCCTCATCAGTCACCAGATTTCCCCCTGAGATCACTGTCACACCACCAACCCCCACGCTCCTATCTCCTAAGGGCAGCATTTCAGAAGAAACTAAGCAAAAGCTAAAGGTACTTCCTTCCCAGGCGAATTTACTGCTTCAGTCAAGTGTCTTGTAAGAGGGCTGAGTTTTAAGGCCCATTGCCTTCAGCCACAGTTACATCTTTCAAGGGGGTGAAGGTACAAATAGCCCATAAGGGCATCCTAGCAGTGAGGGGAGAGATGAGAGCCCATAGAGATTGGAGGGGCAGGGGAGAGAAGGCTTGTGGCGGGGGGGGGGGGGGGTTAGCTGGAAATCACTTCTGTATCCAGGGTTAATCCCACCAGTTACTTTGCAATCAAGGACAAGAAAAAGCGCATACTAAATGAGTGTGAAAATGTAGTTACCGAGATCTTAAATATTTATTTATTTAAAACATTTGTAGGCTGTCCAGTTGTGCCACAGCACCTCTGGGCAGCTCACAACCACAAGATAAAAACACAACATGCAGCATGAATTCTTTAATGGGGTCAACCAAAAGGCCTTGGACTAGAAGTAAATATTTTGGAAAAGTAACTCTTCAATATTATTTCATTTCTGGGCAAGTCTGCCATCCTTTCAGCCCAGTCTGCAGCAAATGTGAAGAAAGAGAGCCTCTGCCAACCAGCTCTGGAGATTGTGGAAACTTCAAGCCAAGAGTCCTCCCTGGAAGAGAGTGATACTGATGATGAGGGCGACTACATGGATGTGTGACTCCCCTTGGCAGTTCCCTTCCTTTGCCTTTTCATTGGAGCATTGCCGCCTGCAAGCCAGCCTTCCTCCATCAGTAGGACCTGCTGTGTCTCTCACCTCTGCTGTTGCCTTCACCACTGCTGCCTCATTTGGCATTGCCTTCAGCTTCCTCAGCATCCTTACCAGCATGCTGGCCACCCTTCCAGCCATATCCACACCTTCAGTTCTGCAGGCTGCAAGCATCTCCTCAACTCTTCCCTTCTCTAGGTCGGAAGCTATTGCAAGGAGCAGAATGTCCCCAGCTGACTAAGTGAGGAGTTTGGCCATGCTCCCTGAGATATTGCCTCCCATGTTGGTTTAAGTAAACCAATCGCAGTCTTGAGTTAAAAGAATCAGATAAAGAGAGGTGGCAGTTCGTGTTATTGCTCTGCCTCATCAAGAGTTAATTGGACCAGCTGTGGAGGAAGAAAAGCTGCAGGAAGGGCATATTTGGCTGAACTGGGAAGTGTTGAGGATTTCAATACCATTTTAATATTGTCTGGTTTTTTACAGAATGGCACAACAAGAGGTATATGTTTGTTTTTAAGAATCTTGGAAGGAACTGGTCACATTTATATGGAGAAAATAAAGGAAACTAAGCATTTTTCTACTGAATGTTAACTTTGTAATATAATGAATGCTAACACTGCACAGAATTGGACGTGACATGTGCAAAACATGCATGGAGCTTAGTAGGTTGAGTTTATGTTTGTTAGGGTGGGAAAGGGGATTGACAAATGGTATGGTGCAGAGCTTTGTATAAATGCACATTTTTCTAATAAAGGAAAATTCTGTTCCCCCAAGACTTTGGATTCCTTACTGTGCCTGGAATGCCTCACACCCCTCCCTCTCCCCCAGTTTTTGAGTAGAGGTGCCCCTTCCAGAAGTCCGGATAAAGGCGGGTGGGGCTTTAATATATATTATATTTAATATATTATTGTCTTTACTTTCCTACTCCTCTCTCTTGCTTGGATTTTCCTCCTACACTTGCTTGAGGCTGCATCTTGCCGCCTCCTTTTCCTTTCCCTTCACGTGCTTCTCCTCCCTTGTCCTCATGGCTGATCCAGCCTGTCACTGCTGCTCCTCATGCCTGCAGCAGACAGCCATTCCCACTGCTGCCTTTGCTCGGGCAAAAGGCATGTGGTCAAGACCCGCCTGCATTGCCAGGTGTGTAAAAACAAGCACACCAGCAGCAGGCCCCTCACCTGCACTTCACCCTCTGGCAGCTACCCTGATCATGGCCAAGCCCTTGCAATCAGATGCTGAAAACCTACCCTCCATGGAGGAGTCCTCCCCACTGGCCAGACGGCCAAGGAAGAGGGCCGCTGCCGCCAACTCCACCACTGCTCCTCGGATGGGCCATTGCACACTGCAGCTGTCCCTAAGCACAAGAAGTGCCGTGCCGCCAAGCCGACTCCCTCCCTGCTGGTGTCTTTGCAGCTTCCCCACATGGCCTTCTGTGGCCATCCCTCTTTCCAGTCACCGCTAGACCTGCCTCCATGTACTCTACTGCTCACACCATACAGAGGCTGCTGGGCTTCATGGCTTCCATGGTGTCCATGCTGCAGCTCACGCACCTCGGAAAGATCCCTTTCAGCTTTGGTTCATGGAAGCCTTCACAGTGGATGAAGACCCCCACGCCACCGCCTTGTCTCCACCCCTGACAATCAGACAGTCCCTCCAATGGCGGAGCATAACAGGCAATCTAATCACTGGGGTTCGCTTCCCCCCCCACTAGAGCCCTTCTTTGCAGTCACAACTGACACCTCCAACTCAAGCTGGGGCACACACTGTGTAGACGTGCACACACACGGCCTCTGGGACTGGCATGAATTGCATCCACATCCACACCAATCTCCTAGAGATGCTGGAGGTAAAGAAGGCCATCGCCTCCTTCCAAGACTCCCTCAGGGGCTGTCATGTTCAGATAGCCACGGACAACACTACCATCATGTATGTTGTATGGCGCGATTTTACAGACGAGACCAGAGACTGGTTGGAATTATCGAGAGGGATTTATTTACCTGCCGGCAGGGACCATGCACTCGTGAGAGTGTGGTGCTGAGCAGATTGAAGGCAGGATTTTTATACTCTTTTACACGGATGGCTATGCAGGTGCTTGAATAACAGCGAACAATAGGGGAAATCCACTGAGCTACATTCGCACACTTTTTTTTATGCTAAAGCAAGCAAGCGAGGGTACAGGGCGTGACGTTATGCTAGAGCGTAGCAACAAAGGCTGCTTTGTGGTCAGCCTTGCGTAGCGTGCACATTCGTTGGGGTTCTTGTTCTTACGCGAACAGGACACTCTGATCATGCTTCTTACCTGTGACGAGCCATGCCCTAGCTGCATGTTCGATGAAGAGGGGGGTTACAACAATGTACTACCAGAACAAACAGAGCAGGCAACATCTAGGTGTGTGGATCACTGCCATGGTCATTCATGGCTCAGGGCACCTGAACACTCTGGCAGACTCCCTGAGCCAGACCATCACCACCCAACACAAGTGGGAACTCCATCCCACCAAGTTTTATGACCTGAAGTGGGGTCTCCCTGAGGCGGACCTCTTCGCCACCCCCCACAACACCAAATGTAACCCCTTCTCTTGAGCAGGGTGGGGGACTGCTTTCCTGGGGGATTCCTTTGAATACATAGAACATAGAAACACAGAAACAGAATGAGTCAGAAGGGGCACTCTAGTCTGACCCCCGGCTCCATTCATGACGTGCTTACCATGTGCATGTCCAGCCTATCCTTGAACACCCTCACCGATGGGGCTTCAACCACCTCCTGTGGAAGTCCATTCCATACCCTAGGGATCTTAACCATCAGGAAGTGCTTCCTGGCATCCAAAGTGAACCTTGGTTCCCTGAGCTTTGCTTCATTGGAATGTGTCCTGCCCTCATCCACAGGGGAAAAATGGTCATGACCCACATCTACGCGACACCCCCTTATGTACCTATATGTCACTAACAGGTCCCCTCTGAATCTGCTCCAGGCTGAAGAGACCCAGTTCCCTCAGTCTCGCCTCATACGGCATCCCCTGCAAACTGGCCACCAACCTTGTGGTCCCAGGGTGCACCAATTCTAACCTGGCTATATCCTTCCTGTAATGTGGATCCTGGAACTAAACACAGTACTCCAGTTGCGGGCACACCCGAGTCATATACAGTGACAGATCTACAAGCCATGCTTCTGGCTATGCAACCAAGAGTGGCATTTACCCTCTTGACCGCCATGTCACATTGCTGGCTCACATGTAGCCATTTAATCAAACAGCACCCCAAGATCCCTTTCACAAGTGCTACTCTCCAGCCACATGTCCCCTAACCTGTTCTTATGACACCTATTCCTATGCCCCAAGTGCAAGACCTTGCACTTCTCCACATTGAATGCCATCCTGTTGTCTCCTGCCCACTTCCATAGTCTTTCCAGATCCTTTTGGATCCAGAGTACCTGCTCCTCAGTTGTGGCCACTGCCCCCATTTTAGTATTCTCTGCGATTTGATCAGCAGACTGGTCAGCCCTTATTCCATGTCATTAGTACATTGTGGCCTACCTGGTGGTACATAATATGGAGTCTGATACAGGTATGTGAGGGATGCCACACAGATGTAGGTCATGACCTTTTTCCCCCTGCAGTATTTCACTAAATGTATGGCACTCAGAGGCATACAGATTTACCCTTACCTAGATGATTGACTCATCATGGCAGACTCCACACAATCTCTCTCTAAGTCCATTAGGGACATGTGATTTGCCTTAGAGAACTTGGGGTTATGTATTAATGTAGAGAAATCCATTCTCATTCCTGCACAGACCATTCTCAACATTGGAGCGGAGCTGGACTCTCAATCAGCTCAGGCATATCTGCCCAAAGATCGCATGGACAAACTGGTGCACTCAGTGTCAATGATCAGATCCAACCTGAGAGTGTCAGCATGACAAATCCAGCAATTACTCAGGCATACGGCATCAACTGTGTCTATGGTGCAGTTTGCCAGTGTATATATGACCTCTGCAGTTATGGTTCTTGAAGTCCTTCCATCTGGAACACAATTCTACAAGAAAGCTACTCACTGTTCCGATCACGGTATGCACTAGCCTCGTGTGGTGGACTTGACAAACTCATCCGTCTCAAGTGGCAGAAATGACAGCCATCATTGCCACAGATGTGAGGTTCACAGGCTGGGGTGCGCACTCTGAAGGACTCATGTCCCAAGCAGCATGGTCCACTCTGGAACAAGGATGACAAATCAACCATTTGGGACTGTTGGCAATCTTCAAAGAACTGATAGCCTTTCAAAGCTTCCTGTAACAATTTCCCTTTCTGAGGCTATGTTGTGAACAAGGAGTCAGTTTCCATGAGCAATATTGCCTATCATTCTTTGATATACCCTAATCAGGTCCAAAATTCAGAAGAGAGTTGTGGAAACTGAGATGTGTTCTGCACCAGAGAGTTGGCGGAGCTTGATTGATGGTGTCCAATTTCCTATAGTAGCCTGGGTTCTGTTACTGTGTCCTAGACTGTCTAACTAAACTGTCAGTCCTAGAGCGTAGGCAGACAGGTGAGACAAAATACGTTTTCCCAGAATTTTATTGTATGAATGTAGGATTTGGTTTCCTGTAAATGTCCAAGTACTGGTTGGTTGTTTGAAATACATGCGGCTTAAGGGTTGCACATATCCAAGATGAGTTGGAGTATTTTGTGCCAATGTGTGTGCAAGGACCATTGCTGTTGACAAGAAATGGTTGTGAAGCTTGATTGAAAGGCCATAGTTCAACAAAGGTTCCACTGTCCTTACCACAAAGCAGAACCTTTAAAACTGGACTAAGAGGCTTGACCTAGGAAATGTTGCATGGCCTGAAGTGCTTCCTTTAGCATCAAACCATCCAGAGTTGTGCTGGAAATACTTTTGGGACTTTTTCCCTGAACCTTTGCATGGACCCAGTTATGGGTCTCTTCCCTTCCTGGGAATTCCACTCATTGCTAGGGAAAATAGGATTTAAGCATTCATGGTTGCCTGTGGTCTCTTGCCTCTCAACTCGATAGGCATGCTGCAGAGAGTCAACCCCTATGGCTGGAGCACCCAGCACATGACGTGTGACCTGCATGCTGGGCACCAATGGAGAGCTGGAGGAAGGGGCCAGCTGCTCCATGCTTGAAGGGAAATGCTTACCATCCCACAGGAGAAAGACCAGGTCTCTTGCTGCTGCATGAAGGCTGGACCCTTTGGAGGAGGCTCATGGACAGGATCAGGCACTTTGTCTTAGCAGGGGGTGGGGCACCAAGCATGAGCCACTGTCCAGCTCAAGATGTTCCAGAGGAGTGCCCAGTTCCCACCAACCCCAAACTCAGGGATGCCTCCAACCCAGGAAATCATCTGCTTTTGCTGCCAAAAGCCAGGGCATACCGCTCCATCGCGCTGGAGGAAAGAGCCTCCGCATGGGCAAGCGAATGCAGGCAGACGCACGCGGCCACGACGTCGACGGCAACCAGCTCCACCGGCCAGCACAGGCACACGCGGCACTGGAGAGCGCCACCCGCCGGCCCAGGTGATCGGGCGCGCACGGTGCGCGACGGGGCAGGACTCGGAGGAGCCCTGCGGACTCAAAGCAGTGGCCGCGGCCAGGAGGGAACGGCCCCTCGGGCAGGAAACACTGACCTCGCGCTGCAAGAAAGACTTCCGCCCACCTCCAGCAGCACGCTGCTCCATCGCGCTGGAGGAAAGAGCCTCCGCGTGGGCAAGCGAATGCAGGCAGACACACGCGGCCACGACGTCGACGGCAGCCAGCTCCACC